GTGTTGGACCATGATCAAATTGTTAACTATCCAGTGGAATTCTTGAATTCTCTGCAGCTCCCGGGTGTTCCACCACACAATTTGCGACTAAAAATTGGGGCACCTGTCTTGCTATTGAGAAACTTGGACCCACCTAAACTGTGCAATGGCACAAGGTTAATTGTGAAAGATTTACATTCAAATGTTATCAAAGCTACAATCATTACAGGCCATTCTAAAGGCGAGGACATCTTTATCCCTCGCATACCTATAATCCCAAATGACACAGTCTTTGAATTTAAGAGGCTTCAATTCCCCATCCAGCTTAGCTTTTCCATGTCCATTAACAAGGTGCAAGGACAATCTTTAAAAGTGGTGGGACTGAATTTGGCAAATCAGTGCTTTTCTCATGGCCAACTTTATGTTGGATGCTCTCGTGTAGGCAATGAAAATTCTTTACATTACTTTGCACCAGCAGGCAGGACCAGAAATATTGTTTACAAAGACGCTCTTTGATAGGGGGGTGTTGGTCAGCAAAAAGTGGCAGTTTTACCTGTCGGCGATCTTGCAGTCAGCGGTTGTTTGCGGCACCGCCCGTGCGCTGTTGTTCTTTCGCCTCGGATCTTACCTGCCCTACTTTCCTTCTCCCCATTTCCCCCTTTTTTCTATTACAAGTTATATAGTCTGTTTTTGTAGTGCCTTACTATAGTACAAATAAATACATGTTTTTCTACCATTGACCATATACTTATAACTCATTGGATTCGATAAAAGACAAAGGCATGTACATGTTATGTAGTAGTACAAAGTTAGCCTGATAACTTTAATCTAAATTGTTTTATGGTTGTTATTGTTAGACTTTCATCCCACTGGAATTTTTGTGCACAGCGTTGATATACGGTGTTTTTTCAGGAAGATTTAGCTGTTTTTTCCTGGGTGTTTCTGTCGCGCGTCGTCACTTTACGATGTTCTTTGTTCATGTTTTTGTTTGTTGCGGTTGCACCTGAGTCAAGAGCTGTATAAAAAGGCACTAAATAAATGTTAACTACAATTAAATACATGTTTCTGTTTGTTTTCTTGCGTATGGCACTTTTGGAGAGCTAAATGTAAAAGTTCAGGTCTGCTGGCAACGAAAGGGCTTCAGGAGAGAGCTTATGCAAGTCCTGTTATTCCTACATTGAAGAGACGGAGACCACACTGGCTTATTGTGGTCCATCATTTGGGTTCACAGTTCCATTTCTTATTTAGTATTACAGTTTTTATTCTCCTAAACACGTTAAATTCATACACAAGTACTTTTTACGTACATTAAACTTTTTGTATTTGTGTATGTAATATATGTACTACCACACTCGGTATGTACTGCTGTCATCACAGCAGGTACCACAACACTCAGTATGTACTGCTGTCATCATAGATACCAACAGTATGCATCATAGCATGTACCACCAGTCACTATGCACTGCTGTAATCATTGCAGGTACCACCAGTCACTATGCACTGCTGTAGTGATAGCAGGTACCACCTCAGTCGGTATACACTGCTGTAGTGATAGTAGTTACTGCTAACGAGTTGGTAGATACTGCTATGTAGAGTTAGTAGATACTAAAACAGTCAATATATACCACTACAATCAGTCAATACTGCTACAGTCAGTATATACTACTATACAGTCAGTACATACTGCTACGGTGAGTAGCTACTAGAGTCAGTAGATACTATTATAGAGTGAGTAGATACTGCTATAGAATTAGTAGTTACTACTATAGTCAGTGGATACTACTATAGAATCAGCAGATGCTATACAGTTAGTAGTTACTACTATATAGTCGGTAGATACTACTGTAGGCCCAGTAAATACTACTATGGTCAGTAGTTACTACAGTCACTAAATACTACTACACAGTCAGTAGCTACTACTGGCTCAGTAGATACTACGGTACAGTTAGTACATACTACTACAGAGTCAATAGATACTGCTTCCTCTGTTGTATGTAAGGTGTGTAGGTATATATACCTACGAGGGGTAAAGATATTTTTTGAGGGGGGGGGGTCCACAATTTTCAGAAACCTTTTACATCAACTATTTACCCCACACTTTCTACAACTTTTTGGACTTGTGCAAGCCTCTTATATATTTGTTGGAGAAATGTACAAACGGCCCACCGGGCTTTGACAATACCTTATTATCTGTGTATATATATGTAAGGTTTTTAAGAAATATATTTTTCACCCGGGCAACGCCGGGTACTTCCGCTAGTGTTGTATAAAATTTACAGCCTCTGTCAATCCACTGCTGCTTGAAGGCCTCTCCAAATCTGGCCGGCTGGTTGACCATACTTCACCACGCTGGTCACTGCTATTTGGTAAAGAGGAGGAAAGGTGGCTGGGCCGATTTAGATTTTACTCGCTTCTCATATCAGCCGAGATATGTTGCGCCCATATCCAGCACTGGGTTTACAAGGGCTATACACATCAATTAACTCAGTGGCTGATTTAGTGTCACTAAAACCCCCCAATACCCGAACGAGCCAATCAAATAAATATGTCACATGAACAAATATGGCAATTGATTAGTTTTTTTCAGCAAAGCGACATTTTTGAAAAGCAAGCAAAACTGTGCCAATCTGCGATGAAAAACTAATGTAAACAAATAATAATAAAGGCATTACATTTTTATTTAAAGCTTTCGTGACTGCAGGGATTCATATTCTTGGTTCTTTCGGTAAAGTCATGTAGAACGGAAATAAAAGTATAAAACAATAAAAAAAACTTTTTTTATCAAAACAAATTATTTTTTTATATTTTTATTATTTTATTATTTCCCTTCTATGTGACTTTATCGAAACAACCAAGAATAATACAGGCATTGTAAGCGTTGTCAAATCGCCGCTTGCTGCTGTGCCCCTGCCAGTGAGAATTCCATTGCGCCGGACTTTGTGTACGGCAGAGGCGAGCTCGCTGGTCTAAAGAAACTCGAGCACAGAAGCTGCTGGCAGCAGCTGCTGCGACAATGCCTGTTCGCTGACCATGTAAGCGAAACGAGTTTGGTAATAAATAAAAATTCCGCTGAGGTACATGACTGCAATGATACAGCGGTGTCCAAGAGAGCGTTGTGACTTGGCAGTGTTCTCTCTGCGTGACACTGGGAACGTTCTGATCGGGTTGGTCCTCGGAGTTGACAGGTGGCAGAATATTCCCACGCCGCGTGCACTGTGCGCGCAATATTAACCGTAGCTCTCATTTTGCAAGTATACACACGGTGCGATCTAATATCTTAATATCTAGGTTCTTGGCTCAAGTTACGGCAGTACCCGATAGAAATTAATGTTCTTAGATGTACATTAGCATCATTTTGAAATGTGCACAGTTATACACAAATTTAACCGATTTTTGCGATGGGCTCACCCACCCACCCATGCATTATTGAATACCGGGTCTTTTGTTTCTCTCTTGGGCAAGGCAACATTTGTATTTTTTCTATTTTTAACGCAAGTGGTATTTTATATATATAAAACATTAAATGAAATAAATGTTAACCGTGTTCCTTCACCCCATGAGCAAGCCGAATGTGTCTTGGAAAAATGTCACGAGAGTCAAATGTCCAGCAGGTTTGCAACATTTTCATTAAAAAAATCCCACTTGGTTAAACCAGAGAAATAATCATCTTAGCCCAGGTACTTACAAGTGAGGTTTGTGTTGATAATTCAGAAGTGCTGTGTCTGTTTGGCACTTGTGACTTATTTATCCAACAAAGCCAGGGTCCTGGGTTTTTATTTTGATATTTTCAGCCAATTAATGATGAGTGTTTACACAAGTGGGATGAAACCGGAGCACCCGGACAAAACATGCACGTACGAGCGAGCAACACTCTATGCCCGTACAGATGGCAACAGGTGGCGATATACATACATATTGCGTTTAGTATGTCGTCCTTCCCACTGCACCTCCGATTCGCACGGTTGGCGACGTACGGTGAGAAAGAAGTTCAACATACATACAGATTAGTCCACTTGCTGTACTGCCTTCTCCAGGCGAGCCAGGGTATGGAACCTGGACGGCCACGGGAATGGAGTTTTGACAACATTTGTGCAATCCGCGAACCCCCGCTGCTGCCTCCACAGTGGCGGGATTCGATGCGTTCCGAAAGCCCGTTGGCTTTCACAAACTGCGCACGGAGATTTTAAATTGCTGTGTGTTGGACATTTAAGCTATTAACGCCTCTTATTTAACGGAACCACGGCAGGAAATTGAATGTAATTGGATTATTTACGAACTCGGAACAAGCAGCAGGTAAAGCGATTTTGACAGTGACCTCAAATTATCTCCTGTTTGCTCGCATTGACCTCGTTGCGAATAAGAGCATGTCACGTGTCATCTTGAGTGTTGGCAAACGTGGCATTTGCCGTGTTTAACCTAAAACGTTTCATTTGTTTTTCCTACGGCTGTTGAAGTAACAAAAAAAGGTTGCACGTAGAGGAGGCCAACCTGATGGCCATGATGATGATGTAGGAAAGTGATGAGGAGGCTGGCACTATTTGGACAACATTTGTTGGATGGACAACGGCAGGAAAATGTAAAGTGTAATGTTCGTAAATATAAATATGGAAGGCTCAACAGAGAATGGCTTCACGGCGACGTCATTAGAGCTTAGTGCCATAAAGATGTGGCCTACTACTTGAGCATATTGGCACAAGGGGCCGTCCATAAATGACGTCACGCGATTTTGGACGATTTTTGACCCACCCCCCCACCCGTCACACGGCGTCACAAAAAGTCAGACCCCCCCTCAAATATGATGCCACAAAGCTCTGCTCCCCCCCAAAAAAATATCAAACATGCTTCAAATCGCTTTTAAACTATTGTCATTGGAGTGCGTATTTAATGTGGCGCTGCACTCTGATGTTGTAGGAGAAAACATTTAAAGTTGCAACATTTTGATGTGACGTCACATTTCTCAAACCCCTCCCCCCCTCCTCGTAACACATCGTCACAAATGTCTGACCCCCCCCCCCCCCTAGGTGCTTGACGTCATTTATGGACGGCCCCCAAGAGGAAAGTGGAAACAAATGACGAAATGTGCAGTGGACACCTACGTACTATCTGTCCATGCATCGTGATGACAACGATGATGACGGATGTTGAAAGAACCCGCCTCTGGGTTGGATACCTCCAGGCAAGTTCCGTCCGTTCGTGATCATGATGGTGAATGCATTATGTTTTGGATCGAGTGTTCCTAGAACAATGACCTCGCATCGTTTATCTGCCACTTGATGTCCGTGATCATCTGCTCGCGGTGGCGAGATGTTAACTACCTCGCCTGGTATGCAGGAGGCCGTTGGTTCAATCCCGACCCTGACGCCTGCTGCTATCCATGTAGAGTTTGCGTGTCTCTCTCCCTGTGGTTGAGTGGCTGATGAGACACTGTGTGTCGAAACCGGTCCAAAGTGTTACCTGTGTTGAAACAATGCTGCCGATATTACGGCCTCCCTCTCAGAAGGCCCTGCGGCTGATGGGTCGCGTAAATGGTCGTCTTCGTTTTTATTTCTGCGTTGATGGGTTTGTGGAGGAGAGACTGGCTGCTGATTCGTGTTGCTGTTCAAATTCTCTGCAACGTCGCTCGTGAGAATGATTCAACCTCGAACTTCCACTCCTGAAACGTGCCACCAGGCGGCGGCATGGGACCGACATTTGACATCGGGAAATGCTTAACACGTAGGAGGCTTGTGTCGTTAAACCTGCCCCAACCCACGTGGCGCAAGAGCGCAGAAGCGTGATCACCACATCTACGCCTCTATTTAAGGAACGAAACTGTAAGACTTCTCCACAAATCTGGCTGTCGCCTGATGAAGCTAGTTGTAATTACTGGCGAAACGTCGTACTCAGATTGTAAATGTTGTAGCTTGGCTCTCCAACACACCGGTGTGCTGTACTAGTGACGAATTGGCCACGTTCTGTTTAAGTGACAACCCTTACTAGTTGGCTGTCGGGTAATGCGTTCATACAGATTTTCAACTCGGTCCCGCATCTGGCACGGTCTATCCACTTGCTCGATGATCCTGTACATCGGTCATCTTCCTCGGGCACGTTCCATCCGTTGGCTGCCACTGTTTCCAGTCTCGACCACCAACCAGACATCTCTTCTATTGATGTCTTCCTCGGTACCCAAGGCTACTTTTGCTTAAGTCAATACCCTACACTTTCGTGTATTCATCTGATCCAGGTATTCCTCTTTCGTTGTGGTGTAGAATTATTCCAAGCATGGATCTCTCTCTCTGCTTCGTTTAGCTATCATCACTTATGCTCAAAGCGCTGTTTGTTATTTCACTTAAAGTGTTGTCGGAAAATAAGGTATATAAAAAAAACTTTATAGGTATATAAAGTTTTTTTTACAATATTCTACCAAATGGAGGGTGCGATTATCGTGGTTCTTGTATGGCCCATCTTGTATGGCCATGTCGCAGTGGTCTTCACTGGTGTTCCGAGGGGGTTCACTTTCGCCGATGAGACATTAGGTGTGAGGGCCACCGCACATTTGAAACCATTGGGGGTTTGACAGCAGTACGATGATGATTGGGGCGGTGTTTTCACCCGTTGTGTTATTGTTGGGGGGGGGGGGCGCGTCAGGGGCCGCACTCAAGGCCACCAGGGGCCGCTAGTGGCTTCGGCACCTTGCAATGAAGAAGAACGCTGCCCACAAGTTGCCACCTTCTCATGCCGTTGCGAGGCCTGGCCGAGAGAGGGCGTCACAAACCACCGGGTTTGTTGGCAAGCGACAGCGGGGAGGGCTCCCCGGTGCCTTTGGCATCACAACAAACGCGCCCGCAACTCGTCTCTCGCCCCCGCCCCGCTCCTGCGGAATAAAAACACGGGGCTCGTCCCCCCTCGTCCCGGTGTCAAAAAGGCGAGCATATGGCCACGTGCCGCGAGAGTTATTCTCGGTGGTTATCATCGCGCTTGTTTACCCAGGAAGGCTCTCGAGACGCACTTTCAAGCAGGGTGAGTCCTGCCAACATTTCGCCGGAGAGTACGACGATGATGATGATGATACTGCTGCCCCTGCTGCCACGTGTATTCCCAAATGGATCATTTGCAGGCCCATTTTACAGCATTGCGATGGTGGGTCAACTACCAGTTACATTGTTTTGTTTTCTTTGGGAAGATTGCTGGTGGGCACCGAGAGGAAGCCCAAAGCAGAACAGGCGGAGAACACAAACTCCACACACAAACGATTCGAACCCAAGGCCCTCTTCTTCCTGTGAGACGCCGAGTGGTCACCACTGCACCACCCTACAGCCCCTCGTCAAATCTACTGCCGTGTGAAGGACTCGTGACACTTTGCGGATCGTAGGCGGGGGCGGGAGGGGAGAGGGGGGTCACTGAACTTCACCACGCCGGTCAGTGAGGATTTGTGAAGGAAGGAGCCCAGGACTGGTTCGGATTGTCACTCGCCGCTGACGTTGGACATGGCCGGGAAACGATGAAATTCGGGTCACCGGGGTTCGTAACCGCCTCGCCACGGTGCCAGCTCATGTGACAAAACGCCCAGCACTTATTTTTGCACCGGTCCCAAACCCCGAGATTGATTTCAGCCACTTGATATCAGAGGACGCTCCACAGAATTTCCCGTAATGCAGTTGGCCGCCGAGGGCTCGTCCTGTCCGATCAGCCAGAGTTTAACCTTGGCACCGGGGTTACTCCGTGTCGTCGACTCGCTATAATAACTCTCACTCGCTCACCCAACCCACCCAAACGGTCCGTCTGACTCTTGACTCTCCCGAACAAAGCCGTCGATTCATTGGCAGTGCCTCTTCGAAATATCGCTGTCGCTCGTTGCGCGCAAGAGACTGCCATTAATTAAAATAAAATAAAAAATTAAATTACTTATCGGCAGACGCGGATAATTTACGGCGTTTAATTATGTATTTCCTATTATATAAATTACAAAAAAAAAACGCTGAGCGCGTGCGCAGTGGGGGGCCATGTCGGTTTGTGTCTGCGCCCGCTACCACGCGTAGTCCGTGTGTCTCGTCACTGGCACGACCCCCCGCGTAGGTCGTACAACGAAGCGTCGCGGGGATTGATTACAAAAACAAAGTTCACAAAAAATCTGCCAGGCACGCGTCTCGCCAAGTCATCTCAGCGTGGCTCGTGTCCTACGCTGGTGGTGACCTGAGTTGATTTCCACCACCCCACTTCCATGAGAATGTTGTCCTCGTTGTTGGTGTATGAATTGCAACGGCGATCCATTTATAGATGCCCCGTTTGGTTTCGAGTGAATCGTCCCACGTTCATCTCGGAGTCGGCAGTTCCTCGGGGTTCGAGGATGACGTCCATCAGGTTGGGTGGTGACTCTTGATGTGGCTGCTGAGGAATCAAATTCTGGATCCGCAGATCTTTAGGAATTGGGGGCACGCGGTGCCAGATGGAAGTGGGATCCCCAGTGCCAACGCGGCTTCCTTTCTGTTTTGGCGGCGATCCCCTTGGGCATCGAGACGTTGGGTCTCGTGGTGGGCCGTGTTCATCTCAACAGGTGACTGAATATGGTGATGTAACACCCCCTTTACCATCTTTGTCTCCATATAAAAAAAAAATAAGTTCGTGTTTTGTACACATCCCATCAGCCCTACGACCTTCTAGGCGTGCATCTCTCCAGACGTATTGCTTTGATAGATACAAAAAACGCTCGATTGATGTCGACATTCATTGTCTAATCAGCTTGCTGAAACCAATGCTGGCGAACTGCCTGGTGTTTTAAAGGCAAGAGGACGATTTCCGTGGGAAATGGGCCCTGGTTAGAAATATGTTCGAGAATACTGTGCAAGTGAAAGGCTCCGAGTCTTGGAATAAGTGACTTGAGATTGGCGGCAGATGTGTATGAGGCTTTGAAATAAAATTGTATATTCTAATAATGTTACCATCATTTCTTGTGGAGATAAAAAGCCACTCGGAGATGCGTGGAGGAGCCACAGACCCAGAGAAGTGAGGAAGGCAGCCAGGCGGTGAGTCAGAATCAAATTTATCCCCCCACACACACCACACACACGCCAAGCTCTGCGGTCCACTATCTATAAAGGTGTTAGCGGAAGGGACAGATGGAGAATTGAGTCCACACTCAGTACCGCTTTTTCACCTTGACGCCTACCAGCAGGGAGTTTCGCAACTTCTTTGCAGTGACCCACCTACCCTCGCTGCCTCTACAGTGCTGGATTATAAGCCACGTGCATAGCCACCACCACTTGGTAAATCTCTAGCGAGTGTCTATGACTGGATCGTGCCGCTAATGTGTCCGCGTGTGATGTGCTCGATTTGAATGATTGTCCTTTTGGGGGGTGGGTGGGTTGAAAAACGCGATGACCCACGTTGTATATTTTAAATTACCCCATGCCAGCTCCATTGGAAAACTTTACAATCCACCCGATGTCTTTCATTGTATAATCGCCGCACAATAAACGCCACTTTGTTTTACATCCACTTAATCCACCTGATCAAAGGCCTTTACAGACGGAGGTTTTGTGGTTTATCAAAATAAATATTTTATTTTTCTAGGACACCCTAGAGCGATCAAATTTGTCTTTGGAGTTCAATTGCCAGGGTACGTGTTGCACTGAAATTACGATTGGCCTCCCGGTTGTGCATTATCCTGAGGCTAATTATTTATATAGGACACAGTATACGGCGCTATCGAGTGACCCAAATTTTGCAACATAATATACCAAGAGTGGCCAAAGAGTCAAGAGACATAGGGTTACTTTATTGATGTTAACGCTGGCATGAACACAGTTGTATTGTTTGTTCTTTAAGTTAATGTTTTTTTAATTATAATAACAATTATCAGAATTAATATCTATTTTTCTTCTTCCTGTGGAGATCACCTCAAATCCATTGTTTACAAAACTCGACGAGGAACATAAATGTGATGACAAATAATTGAGACAAAACGTCATTGATTAGTGTTCAAAGATTACACCTGTAATCTGAAACATATTAAATATTTTAAAAAGATCATTCACACACCATGCATTCATGCTAATGGGAGTCATTTTGAAATTTGTTCATATGAATAACATAATCCCATGTGATTTGCAGTCCTGACTTTTGGGCCAACCTGTAGATGAAATCCATGCTTCACGTTAAGCTCCCAGCACGCTCGCAAGGTCGACCTGGGGTGACATT